TCGCAGCAACAATGCCCACATCCAGTCAATAATTTCTCGCATATCATTGTGCTTTTAAGAATTACGTGCATTTGAATTACGTGCATTTTTAAAGGCTCTGGTCTGGCTTTACTGAATGTGTATAACTAATGCAGCCCATGCACACAATACAATCGTTCAGTATTACAAATATAATAAAAGAATAATGTCTTTTGGAAACCAACTTCCCTAATTAGGCAATTCAATTAATAAACAATTGTTTTATCAATAACAATCAGTTCTGGATGCATCTGTCCAGGGCTGTGCATCTGTCCCTAGCCACAGATAACCACTCTTGTCTTGAGTGACAACAGCTATCTGGAATCACCTATGATGCTAGCCAAAAGAATCCAGAGATTCTTGCCTCAGGAATCTGCTGCTGGACCTATCACCCTTAGGTGAGAATCAGGCCTAAGGGAGATGCACCCTGCTTGTCCTGGTGACTATTGTCATGGCAAAACAAAGGAAATCATCGAATGGGGCACCAGGTCAGTAGACAACTTTATAAAAGGGGAATCCCTCATTTTGCGGAGATTTCCTCTTGTTTACCTCATTTATCTGGGAGAGGAAATTAATGATAATCTACCTACAGACAGCAAAAAGAAATAACCCCTTTTTACCAATCCCCATTATAAGCAAGACAAAAAAAAGTTTAATCTTTAAATACACTTATTTATGAAGAACACACATTCACTGCTTTAAAGAAAAGCCCCTAAAAATATTTGCATAGATGGTGGACGATACAAGTAAAAATGATTAAGGAATCAATTTAAAGGTATGTATTTTCCATGCAAAAAAATTGCCAACTAGAAAAATTATCCTTTATACTTAAAGAGCTATTTCTTTTTATAATAGGGATACTCCACATGTGTGTTTTACTAGATGTATTAGCATCTTATAGTGCGAAATACAAACCACAATCTATGCGAAATGTGCATCTGCAAGGCAGCTGTGCAAACTATAATTGTGACAGATGCATGCAGAGTGGTGAATGAGCAGCTGAAATGTAAAGAAGGATACTTTACAGAAGAGTGATTTAGCTTATGTTTGACTACGATGTAACTAAATACATGCCTTGATGAATACAGTTTTCTATTTGAAAGTGTCAGGAAAAGTGACATTTATTTCAGTAATTCACTGTCTTTGTGAAGACCTACAATGACAATTCTCTAAGCCACAGGCACAACAGGTTTCTAAACTAATCAATTTGTTTCATCTAAAAGAAAGAATGTATTCAAGACACTGTTTTTTGACACAATTTATAATCATTATCTGCAATTATTCTACAAGAATAACACATCCAGATATTTAATTTACTCTGCTACATCAGTAAGTTCAGGCAGAGACAAGAAAAAAAAGAAATGTACATATAAATTAATTCAATACTCTTCAAATTCACTTAACAGCTATAAAATAAATGTCCCAATCTAGAAATATTTTTAATAAACATTCCTTCACTCAAATGTATTCAGGCCCCTCCTTTTACTTCTGTTTATTCTACCAATTTTGGATGGACAACTTAAAGTATAAATTTTTTTCTTTTTTTTAAATAGGGAAGGGTAGGAGTAGAACCCTTGTTATAACTGTATTGCTTTTAGTGTTCCTACTAGGCAGATGCGCCATGAAAATAACTTTACTTTAAGCCCAGTCACTAGAACAGGTACGTAAAACTCCCTACCTGGGACGATTTTCTTTTCTTAGGGAATCTGTGCCCAAGATCGGCTTGAAAATACTCCTGGAGATAGAAGACTGAGAGGCAGACTTCTTGAAGTTGATCAGCTATCCAAAACATTGAAGGAACTGTACTGTCTTTTAGAAGTTTGGAAGACAGAACCATGGCTGAGGAATTGTTCAGCAGAATATCATCCAGGTAACCCATAACATAGATGCCCTTAGATCTAAGCAGGTCAAGAGTGGAACAAGCGCAACAAATTGAAAGTTCTGGTCTCCTACAGAAAAGTATTGAAAACATTGGTATTCTGAGAAGATGGGAATGTGAAGATAGACACCCTGTTCACTTATGCCTCAAACCCCTCTAATCTGAGAGAAGCAATGACCAATCTCGCAGACTCCACAAAGAATTTGAGGACAAGCATATATCTGTTTAGGGATTTTAGATCCAAAATGTAATGTTTCAATTCAGAACTGGGCTTACCACTCCTTGTGGCTGAGGTTAACTCAGGGCACCCCACAAAAATGCTTGTCTTTGAGATGAAGCTGATAAATTGGAGAGTAGAATTTAAGAAGTGAGCAGGGATAGAATTATTATTTTCTAGCCCCTGGAAACGACAGATTGGATTCAGAGGTCTAGGATGCTCTGATCCAGACTAGCTCAAATACCAGTAGCCAATCCCCCATTCAGGAGAATGAGAGTAATTTTTGGGCTTCAAGGCTTGCACCAAAAGCATGAATCCACCCTGACTTAGAGAAGGTGCCTTGATGGAGTGAAAGGACCCTTTTTAGTATGGAGAGGTAGTAGCTGTCATAGTGGTAGACTTAGACTGTTTTTTTGTTGGGTAAAAGTACCTTTCCCCCAGGAACTTAGTTAATACATTTATCAAGTGACTCACCAAACAGGCAATAACCATTGAGAGGTATGTGTAAAAGATACCTTCTAAAAGCAAGCTCAGCAGACCAAGCCTTTAACAAAAGGCTGTGCATATGCATCTAGCCCTAACGTAGTAGAGACATTTAGAGAAGGTGAAAACTCAATAAATTGAATAACACCCCACATGAAAAAACTGAACTCGGTCATAAATACAGGGAAAACTTGTCTTATCTTATCCTCGCTGGAGATTCCCAAAATTGACCAAATTTCACCCATCACAGTGATCATACCCCCAAAGGGGTCTTCAGAGTCTGAGTGCAATAGGAATGGACCCATGGTCCTGGACCTGTATAGCACCCTGCAGATAATAACACTGCACGTGCCAAGGGAAGCAAATGTTACAGTCTGATCCCACAGTTGCGGGGGCCAGCTGCCAAGATATACATCAAGGGTAACAGATCCAGAAACTGCTAGTGAGCACTGAGGAAATAAGCAGTTGAATTTTGACAGAAGTGTTAGTGGAAATGGTGTAGAAAAATCTAAAGATTAGTTTAAAAAACTTCTTCAATTGGACATGTCCTTCACCTAGGGAAACTTGCAAATACTAGTCTACTATAGGGTGGAATAATAAAATAAAACCTTTTGGCTACAATTTACTATATTTTATTAATTAATGTGCATAAAGAAGCCAAGGAAAGATGGAAAAATCTCCAAAAGGCATCAAATTACAGATTAGACATTCTTATAATATGTCAACAAAAGTTAGATTTTATTTCCATCATTAACACTTTCAAAATAACAGAAAACAAAAAAATGGCGTCCGCAAAAGTTTGGGCACCCTGCAGAATTTATAGCATGCACTGCCCCCTTTGCCAAGCTGAGACCTGCCAGTGTCATGGATTGTTCTCAATCATCGTCTGGGAAGACCAGGTGATGTCACTCTCAAAGGTTTTAAATGCCCAGACTCATCTGACCTTGCCCCAACAATCAGCACCATGGGTTCTTCTAAGCAGTTGTCTAGAAAACTGAAACTGAAAATAGTTGACGCTCACAAAGCTGGAGAAGGCTATAAGAAGATAGCAAAGCGTTTTCAGATGTCAATATCCTCTGTTCGGAATGTAATTAAGAAATGGCAGTCATCAGGAACACTGGAAGTTAAAGCAAGATCTGGAAGACCAAGAAAAATATCAGACAGAACAGCTTGCAGGATTGTGAGAAAAACAATTCAAAACCCACGTTTGACTGCACAATCCCTCCAGAAAGATCTGGCAGACTATAAAGAGATACTTGTACAAATATGATCTTCATGGAAGAGTCATCTGAAGAAAGCCTCTTCTACGTCCTCCCCACAAAAATCATTGTTTGAACTTTGCAAATGAACATATAGACAAGCCTGATGCATTTTGAAAACAAGTTCTGTGGACCGATGAGGTTAAAATTGAACTTTTTGGCCGGAATGAGCAAAGGTACGTTTGGAGAAGAAGGGGCACAGAATTGAATGAAAAGAACCTCTGTCCAACTGTTAAGCATGGGGTTGGATCAATCATGCTTTGGGGTTGTGTTGCAGCCAGTGGCACAGGGAACATCTCACGAGTAGAAGGAAAAATGGATTCAATAAAATTTCAGCAAATTTTGGATGGTAACTTGATGCCATCTGTGAAAAAGCTGAAGTTAAAGAGAGGATGGCTTCTACAAATGGATAATGATCCTAAACACACCTCGAAATCCACGGGGGATTACATCAAGAGGCATAAACTGAAGGTTTTGCCATGGCCTTCACAATCTCGTGAGCTCAACATCATTGAAAATCTATGGATAGACCTTAAAAGAGCAGTGCGTGACAGACAGCCCAGAAATCTCAAAGAACTGGAAGACTTTTGTAAGGAAGAATGGGCAAAGATACCTCAAACAAGAGTTGAAAGACTCTTGGCTGGCTACAAAAAGCGTTTACAAGCTGTGATACTTGCCAAAGGGGGCAGTACAAGATATTAACTCTGCAGGGTGCCCAAACTTTTGCAGACGCCATTTTTTTTGTTTTCTGTTATTTTGAAAGTGTAAATGATGGAAATAAAATCTAACTTTTGTTGACATATTATAAGAATGTCTAATCTGTAATTTGATGCCTTTTGGAGATTTTTCCATCTTTCCTTGGCTTCTTTATGCACATTAATACAAATTTTTAGCTGAGGTGCCCAAACTTTCGATCCCCACTGTATATATATATATATATATATATATATATATATATTTTTTTTTTTTTTTTTTTTTTCTTCTTTCTTACCGTCTAAAGTAAAAATACCTTGATGTCTGTGCTCCTGGTAAGCACGGGACTACTATGCACGAATCTTCCCTGTAGAGAATGCTGGCTGTGAAATTGGACAAATGTGCAAGAATATTTTGTGCTACCTCATAGCGATAACACTTGTGTGCCTACCTTTAAGTACTCCAGTTGCATCTTCCTGTGTGATCATCATGTCTTTTTGCACAGCTGTCATAGGAAGAGATTTCAGTCGTACAGTTGGGGAGGGCGAATTGGATAGCTGAAGTCCCTGTTGAAGCAGATGGCGTACATATTAAATATAGATCACATAACTGTATTATCAATAGTTTATCTCTAAAGCAAGACATCAGCTCTCCTCATTTCAAGGGTGCACATGAGGAAATGTAAAAATAAGGTACACTCAACTTCACAAAGAGAATCTCAGCGCCAACATTAAAGGGTATCTGTTGGAAAACCGGAATTTCTTTGTTTTTCCTGGGTGTCTCCTGTAGAAACATAAAGAGTACCCTCCATTAAGTCCTGACCCCATATGATCTCATTCAGGGCAGAGTTTTCTGACATCACAGAGCCAGTCCAAGCTCTGAAAAGATCCAAACCATATGGCTGGAATCCATCCATTGCTTGGACCGGCACCTGTTTCAGCTTCTCAGCAATCTGCTGAGAGCCTGACCCAGCCACTCCCTCCCACTTGACAGCCCAACGCTCCAAATGAACACTGGAGGGGCAGAACAAAGAGTCACCAGCTCTCTGTTCACGGAGCATTGAGAACTGAGTAATCAGCAGTGTTCAATTGCTCAGTTCTCTGTTTTAGCCGTTGCGGGGACAGATACAGCATCAGAGAAATGCTACATCCACCTAGGCGAGTATAATTATTTGTTGTTGTTAACCCATGCTTCTCTTTTAAAACTGGAGCAGCCAAAATTTGCAGCAACTGTACATGACAACCAACCAGCTTCTATATTTCATTTTAAAAGCTTAAGTGAACAAGCTAAAGAAACGGATTAGTTGCACAGATGCTCCAGATTTTGGCTGCTCCAGTTTACCTGTATTGCAGCTGTGTGTTCCAACTGCAGTTTTGGGTGGTGTGGTATGCAATTCAGCACATCACACAGCTCTTTTTTTTTTTTTTTTTAACACTGAGCTTTACTTGAAGTGTACAAAAGCACAGTTTATTCATGTCAATCTGCAGCAGCACAATTCAGTACAGCATGCTGCAATAAAATGCAGCAGGTCTTCATTTTATCACAGTTTGCTGCAGCGCAGCTCCAGGCTGTGTTGCTGTGTTAATAGGACACACAGGAAACAATTGTTGTTGTGACCAGCGTTTTACAATGCGGTATAACGTGCATACTGATCATCCAGCAGGCTCAAAATGCATACATGTTGCATACCAATACAATCACCTTTGTAACCATACTTTACAGAAATTGAGTATATTCCAGCATTCCAGTTAAACATTTTTTTTCTTTTAGCTGCAATATCCAGTTGAATATCATTATTTAAAGAAGTATAGCCAAAGCTTTTGTTGGCTATACATCTCCTATGGATCACAGGAGTGCAGTTAGTTCTGCACGCCTGTGATCAGTTTTCCCCCGACAGAGGCTGAAGCTCGCTGTAGGCTGATGTCACATAGCTGGTCCAGGCTCTGAAAAAATCCTGATGATGTGGTCAGGATGCACTCAGATGCTGGGACCAGCAGCTGGCTCAGCCTTTCAGTGATCCGTCAAGAGCCGGAGCCAGCTGCTACTGCCCCCTCCACAGCCCAGTGCTCTGCTGGAGGGGCTGACTGACAGGCTCTGGCTCTATGCTCAGAGAATGCTGAAAACTGAGCAATCAGCGATCTTTGATTGTTCAGTTCTCAGTGCAGAACCAGCAGGGGACAGATGCAGCATCGGATGATGCTCCATCTACCTAGGCAAGTATAAATGTTTGTTTTTTTTTCAAATTTTTATACTCTTAATTCTAAAGCAAAACTACAAATCAGTTCCTGTGCTTACAATTGTCTAATTTATCTCTTCTACAATGATTTGCATCAGTTTAAAATGAACTTGATAGGCTTACTATATATCATATTTCTAACGTGCACCTTTTTATTCTGCATATGCAAGAAAGGTTTTTGCTAAATAATGGCTTCTCCGTTCTATTTTTCTACAGTTATTAATATTGATGCCAAATCTATTCTTTGCTGATTGCTGCATGTAAAAGGCCAAGTGCATCTGAGTCATGATTGGAATAGTTGTAATTGCGATGACCTATCACGTTATAATAGAAAACAAATCCTTCTAAATCCTGAAGAGTTCCCAGTACTCAGATTTTTTTTTGGTATCCATATACAAGATGGCAAACTGTTATCGGTAAAGTACATCTTCTACAATGTCTAGGAGACGTGAATTATCATATCATTTTCTCAATCAAGTACACACCTCTTCAGTTTAACATACTTCAAAATTCTCGAAGTCTATGATAAATGCCAAAAGGGCTTTTTCAATCAAATATAAAGTTGTAGCCTGAAACAACAGTAGTCAACTGCCAGATTCTGAACTGAACTGGCAGCCGTCCAGATGTTGCAAAACTACAAGTCCCATCATGCCTCTGCTTTTGGGAGTCATGCTTGTAACTGTCAATCTTGCAATGCCTCATGGGCCTTGTCGTTTGACAACAACTGGAGGGCCGCCAGTTTGACACCTGTGCTGTAAGGTGTGCCCAAATAATGCCGGCAGATGACTAGACAATAGTATTAACTGTGGTCATTCTGCAACTGATCTTTTCCGTTACTGACCAACCATGCATTGTTCTGTACCGTGTCTCTGTATAGACACAGCATCTTGGTAGTCCTGGCATGTTTTACACTAGGCATTCTGTATGTGAGAGAAAGCAAGGAGGGTTACCAGGCCTCATTACTGGGTGCATTCCAGATCAACAGACTACCCATTCTTAACTAGGGTTCCTCCAGAGGTTGCTAGGAGTTCCTTAAGCTGTTGCTATCTGACCTCCCATGTGATGGTGCCTGCATAGTTCTAGGTCTAATACCAATTGGTAGAGCTAGCTGCATGACTCTAATGGTGGCATTCTGACCACAACTGTGGGGGGGGGGGGGCATTCTTCCCCCTGACTACAACAAAAGTAAGAGGCATTTTCTCAGTGACCACTGTGAGAACTACAGTAGCTTCAAATGGGAGATCTTTAAGGACAGAACCCCTCACTAAGTTCTTCTTTTTAATGCCTGTTCATGCTCAATTTTATTAAAAGAAAGTGCTGACAAAGTTCCAACAATCAAAAACATCACATACATCACTGCAGTTTTGGCCTTACTCTTCAGGCCCTCATCTGTCTGCTACAGACCACGACACCATACCACTCAGTACCTCTCTCAAAAGCTTGGTTCATATACTTGACAGTCTCTTGCTGCCCTGGCTCCATTCTGTACTCCTGGACAGAGGCATCCTCTGTCTGCTGGGCTGGAACACAGAACCATGGTCAGGTTTCCGCAAAAGCCCAGCACACACACCTGCCCAATTAGTGTGCTGATGGTTCGCAAAACATGGACCCAAAACTGGAGATTGAATCTCACCCAGATCACTGTAAAATCTCCGGGCTCCAGGTCCCAAAACAGATTTTACTAAACAGTGGGAAAACTAAAAAAACAGTTTCCTCTAAATTAAGCAAACCCTCAGAGTCCCCCAACATTCACAGTCACAGCTTCTATTTACATCATGGCAGGGTACCACACTTCCACACCGCCATTGGACTAATCTTAATAGGGGGTTTCCTGAGACCCGAAAATTATTGCAAGAGTTCCTTAGGGGTAAGAAGTTTGGGAAAGGCTGTCATAGAGAAAATGGTTATGTTAGTCTTATGCATTACAGTAGTGTTTGGATGAAAAACTTAACTACTTACACATGCAGACAGGGAGCAAAGAATACCTGCTAAGTGTAATTTACAATTTTGACAGTAGTGCACTTGGAAAACTGCCTAAGCTAGTGATTTTTGGGTGGTATCCTATACATGGGATAAAACTGCATTTTTGACAGCACAATCGATTACAGTATAGGACATAAGTTTTAATCATTACAGCTGGGTTTTTTCAGCTACCTTCAGGTTATTGGACACTCCCAAAAAAAAAGAAAGCTGCAGGGACACCCCTTTATACAACCTGTTTCTACTCCCAGCCTCAGTTCTTTAGCAAGCAAAAAAGAGACATTATAAGAACGGAGGGGAAAGACCTCTGTTCCATACTGTACTCCAAGAGGCTGATTTTAGTGGTAAATCAATAATCCTATTTTCTTAGTCATACAGTACAGGGCACAGGATCTTTAAGAATTATGACTGGATTGCCCACACAGTCCAACAAGGCAAATTATACAACAGGCTCACATAACAAAGGGGTCAAGAAGGCTTGGCAGCTTCGGAGAGCAGCTTGTGGCACCTTACATCCAAAACCTGTGTGTGTTGGGGGGGTTGGGGGGGGCGCCTTAACATCCACCTGGCAGAACAAAAGCCAAGATGTCAGCCTTGCAAATCACAGACTGCTGCTGAAAAGCCAATGAAACACTAACATATCTGGTAGAGTTTGCATTAATATGGAAGGGAAGAACTTCAAACTACAGGCTCCAATTGTAATTTGTCTGATCCACATAGCAGTGTGGGGCAAGAAGCAGGCAGATGTTCAGAAGTACAAAGTGAGAATGCCTAAACGTGTACAAACAAATGGAAACCGCCTCAACCTATAACTGGCCTTTGCAGCATGGAGCACATCGAAGGGAGTCACAAGTCAAAAAAACAACAAACAAAACTTTCCAGCTCACTTACCAGCTAGCCTGCAACAAACTGAATTAACCCTGTCTAACAGTTCATGTTAAAACAATTTAGTATGCACACATTTGCAAATATATGTGTAAACGTCAGAGGCCATGTCACAGCACACATCAGTGTACTGCAGTCCCAACTCAAAAAATGTTGAGTTTCCAAAGTTGAAGCACATATTGCAGTGGATAGATTAAGGGCAGGTATGCCTGAAGGAAGCCCACCCCTCCTAAAAAAGGTATACGGACACAGTGGAAACCCAGCAATAGCACAATGGCAGCAAAGATATCCAGTGCATCTCCTCACCAATTCACCAACAGTACAAACAAATGGCATCCAACCCAACCTATAAACTGGCCTTTGCAGCAAGCAGCACTTGGAAGGGCGACACATGTCAAAAAAACAACAAACAAAAATTCCCAGCTCACTTACCAATTTCAGGAGGAAGAAGGCCTGGAGCTTCAAAACAACAATTTTGTCCTCTGCAACATTAAGAATGGCTCCTTTTAGGATAAGGACACTAACTCAAAGACCCACTGAACAAAGTTGATAGAAACAAAAAAGTCCATTTTGCCAGTAAAGTCCGACAAATGAATATCCCTAAGAGGTTCAAAAGGCAGTTTCTACAGAGCCAAGAGAACCAGATTAAGGTAGAAAGGGTATTTAGGAGAGCACTCAAGGGGAACCAGTGGACCGGAAAACTCTTGCCTGGTTTAGGTAGTTTAAGGGACCCAAAACCTCTGCTACAGGCACATCATCCAGATCCAGTTCATCAGAAGAAGGAGCGTCCTCAACTGATACATTCTCCTCAGTAATGTGTCTGCCTCAAGGAGGAAATCAAAGGGCTTAGGAGGTAAGGTCAAAAGGGGCACAGCTGTGACCCCTACTCTTTATGGCTAAAATTTCTCTCTAGATAAAGAAAGAAGAGTCTGACCCTTTTTGTTAGCACTTAAGATTTGCCATGCTTGTGAAACATCAGCCCCAGAGAAGTCCTCAAAACAACCTCTGCACTAGTAGAGAGGGAGGGGATGTCACTGGTCAAAAGTAAAAAGTTGAGTTCTGCTCAGTAGAGAGAAAAGATTCACAACCTATGGACACTAGCAAAAAATGAGGCTTGCTGGGAATGGACTGGGTTATATGGGTGACATCTCTGTGGCCTTCTTTTTTTTGCCAGTGCCTACTTACAAGAAGGCAGCTGCATATACAGTGCATCCAGAAAGTATTCACAGCGCTTAACTTTCGCCACATTTTGTTATGTTACAGCCTTATTCCAAAATGGATTAAATTCATTTTTTTCCTCAACATTCTACAAACAATACCCCATAATGACAATGTGAAAGAAGTTTGTTTTCAAATATTTGCAGTGAATTAAAAATAAAAAAACGGAAAAAAAACACATGTACATAAGTATTATTATTATTATTAGTATTTATAAAGCGCCAACAGTTAGCTCAGCGCTGTACATTACAAAGGGGGACAGAACATGCGACAGTACAATAACAATACAATGCGATACACGAGGGGTTCGAGGGCCCTGCTCTTTAGAGCTTACAATCTAGGAGATAAGTATTCATTAATTACAGCCTCAAGTAGTTTTGAGTATGGTGCTACAAGCTTGGCACACCTATTTTTGGGAAATTTCTGCCATTCTTCTTTGCAGTATCTCTCAAGCTCCATCAGGTTGGATGGGGAGCATTGGTGCAGTCTTTTTCAAATCTCTCCAGAGATGTTTAATCGGGTTCAAGTCTGGGCTCTGGGTGGGCCACTCCAAGACATTCACAGAGTTGGCCCGTAGACACTCCTTTGTTATGTGGGCTGTGTGCTTAGAGTCGTTGTCCTGTTGAAAGATGTCGCCCCAGTCTAATGTCCAGAGCGCTCTGGAACAGGTTTTCATCAAGGATGTCTCTTTACATTGCTGCATTCATCCTTCCTTCGATCCTGACTAGTCTCCCAGTGTCTGCTGCTGAAAAACATCCCCACAGCATGATGCTGCCACCACCATGCTTCACTGTAGCGATGGTATTGGCCAGGTGTTGAGCGATGCCTGGTTTCCTCCAGACATGAAACTTTTCATTCAGGGCAAAGAGTTCAATCTTTGTTTCATTAGACCAGAGAGTTTTGTTTCACATGCTCTGAGAGTCCCTTAGGTGCCTTTTGGCAAAATCCAGGCGGACTGCCATTTGCCTTTTACTGAGGAGTGGCTTCTGTCTGGCAACTCTTTGTAGAGGCCTGATTGGTGGAGTGTTGCAGAGATGGGTGTTCTTCTGGAAGGTTCTCCTCTCTCCATAGAGAAAGGCTGGAGCTCTTTCAGAGTGACCATCGGGTGCTTGGTTACCTCCCTGGCTAAGGCCCTTCTCCCTTGATTGCTCATTTTGGCCCGGTGGCCCGCTTTAGAAAGATTCCTGGTGGTTCTTAACGTCTACAGTCTACGGACAATTCCTTGGACGTCATGGTTTGTGCTCTTACATGCATTGTTAACTGTGGGACCTTATATAGACAGGTTTATGCCTTTCCTAATTATGTCCAATCAACTGAATTTCCCAAAGAGGGACTCCAATCAAGTTGTGGAAACATCTCAAGGATGATCAGTGGGAACAGGATGCACCAGAGCTCAATTTTGAGTGTCATGGCAAAGGCTGTGAATACTTATGTGCATGTGTTTTTTTCTGTTTTTTATTTTTAATAAATTGCAATGATTTCAAAACGAACTTCTTTCACATTCTCATTATGGGGTATTGTTTTGTAGAATGTTGAGGAAAAAAATGAATTTAATTCATTTTGGAATAAGGCTGTAACATAACAAAATGTGGCAAAAGTTAAGCACTATTAATACTTTCTGGATGCACTGTAACCCAATGATAAAGGAGCCTGTGTCCTGTATTGTACAACTAAGAAATAGGTGTCCTTCACACTGGCAATAATCAGGTACTTAACAAGCACAATGGAAAATCAGGTCATATAGTGAATACATCAACAAACCAATCAACCACAAACATATAAACAGTACTGTACACCAATATGATCCAGAAATAATCCTCTAGAGCCAAATTAAGAGAATTGACAGACTTGGGACCCATGCGCGCATGAAAAGTCTTGCCAGTGTCATAATCCTAAAATGTGTAAATAGATATAACTAAATGACATATCAGTTATAAAGGCAATTACAAGCAATGTCAAGCAATAAAAACAAATAATATCACTATACATAACTACAAACATAACCGTAAAATAAAATCCTCTTTATTTTTGTGAGTTATGCCAAGAATGGATTTTTCTAGCACTCATGAGATGTAAATGGTTCTCATCTAATACCTACAGTGCTGCTCTTTATATTGAAGCCAAGGATTTGTTATGGCTGCAGGCTTTCAAGCACAATGTTGAAAATGGAAATGGTTTTAATTAAAACATTTTCTGCGGTCAGAAAGACACTTACAGTTGTGAACAGTTATAGTTACCTCTGGGCTATGTCTCTCAGAAAAGGACCATGTTTCAGAAGCAGAAACTTTGTCATTTAGTCTTGTTAGAGAAGATGGAGGAGAGACTAATACAGGTTTATTCATGGGGTGTTTACCCTCGGTCTTGTCTCTGCTCCTGTCCTGTGGAGTTGGTTTAAAGTCCCCATCCCATGTAGAAAAACCAGAACCTGGAGCTATATAAAAAGAGAAATAAATAATTCAAAAACATGAAACCACAAATTGGATTAATATTTTTTTCCATTTAAAAACAAGAATAGTGTAATTTATTCAATTATATTTTTGCATGTCATGACCATGAAAGTCATAGTTCTTAAGCCTATAATACTCAATATTTACTTTCATGAAATGCTTTGGAATTACTCTGCTGCCACCTACTGAACTGAAGTAATTACAACACATTAGCAGCTTATCTGGATTTTTGATTGACACTGGTAACACAGGCTAACTATATTGTAAATTTTGAAACACTAAATTGTTACAAAGGTTTCTGGTTGTGTTTTATTTTTTTTCCGTAAAATGGACCTGAACATTATAAGATGTGCCCAAGAAAAAAGGTAAGCAGAAGGCAAAGGACTAGTCATCCATATTGCTTGTAGGGTTCCTGCAGTTGATCTCTCCCCATTACTGGCTTGTTCCGCACTGTGCTTGTGTGTGGTGGTGACCATCTTGGTGGAAGCAGTGCTTTGCTTGCTTATGTCACAGCTGCCCCCTCCTCCGATAACTGCTAAACTCGTAAAATGGGGGGGATGGTTTGGAAAATTGGAACTATTCAAGATCAAGTAGGAGGGGTGTGGGAAGCACAAATCTACAGAATGAATTAAGCAGAAGCAGGTAGAAGCATGAAGTGTACAATTCAGGTACAGAATTCTCTCCAGCACTGTGGTGACATCACCAAATCTCACTCCGAATTTCAAGATACTAGCAAACACAAGCAGCAATGCCCCTACAATGCAGGTATACAGCTATGAGGTTGTAGGCACAGAAGCACCTCACATACGAGTAAGTACACTGCTATTTTTCAGGAGGAATTCCAGCCAGAAGGAAAATCTTTCAGGATGCTGAATAATAACAATAATAAAAAATCTTCTTTATATATATTATATATATATATATATATATATATATATATATATATATATATATATATATATATATATAGTCAGGTCCATAAATATTGGGACATCGACACAATTCTAACATTTTTGGCTCTATACGCCACCACAATGGATTTGAAATGAAACTAACAAGATGTGCTTTAACTGCAGACTGTCAGCTTTAATTTGAGGGTATTTACATCCAAATCAGGTGAACGGTGTAGGAATTACAACAGTTTGCATATGTGCCTTCCACTTTTTAAGGGATCAAAAGTAATGGGACAGAATAATAATCATAAATCAAACTTTCACTTTTTAATACTTGGTTGCAAATCCTTTGCAGTCAATTACAGCCTGAAGTGTGGAACGCATAGACATCACCAGACGCTGGGTTTCATCCCTGGTGATGCTCTGCCAGGCCTCTACTGCAACTGTCTTCAGTTCCTGCTTGTTCTTGGGGCATTTTCCCTTCAGTTTTGTCTTCAGCAAGTGAAATGCATGCTCAATCGGATTCAGGTCAGGTGATTGACTTGGCCATTGGATAACATTCCACTTCTTTCCCTTAAAAAACTCTATGGTTGCTTTTGCAGTATGCTTTGGGTCATTGTCCATCTGTACTGTGAAGCGGTGTCCAATGAGTTGTGAAGGATTTGGCTGAATATGAGCAGATAATATTCCCGAAACACTTCAGAATTCATCCGGTTGCTTTTGTCAGCAGCCACATCATCAATAAATACAAGAGAACCAGTTCCATTGGCAGCCATACATGCCCACGCCATGACACTACCACCACCATGCTTCACTGATGAGGTGGTATGCTTAGGATCATGAGCAGTTCCTTTCCTTCTCCATACTCTTCTCTTCCCATCACTCTGGTACAAGTTGATCTTGGTCTCATCTGTCCATAGGATGTTGTTCCAGAACTGTGAAGGCTTTTTTACATGTCGTTTGGCAAACTCTAATCTGGCCTTCCTGTTTTTGAGGCTCACCAATGGTTTCCATCTTGTGGTGAACCCTCTGTATTCACTCTGGTGAAGTCTTCTCTTGATTGTTGACTTTGACACACATACACCTACCTCCTGGAGAGTGTTCTTGATCTGGCCAACTGTTGTGAAGGGTGTTTTCTTCACCAGGGAAAGAATTCTTCGGTCATCCACCACAGTTGTTTTCCGTGGTCTTCCGGGTCTTTTGGTGTTGCTGAGCTCTCTGGTGCGTTCCTTCTTTTTAAGAATGTTCCAAACAGTTGTTTTGGCCACGTTAATGTTTTTGCTATCTCTCTGATGGGTTTGTTTTGTTTTTTCAGCCTAATGATGGCTTGCTTCACTGATAGTGACAGCTCTTTGGATCTCATCTTGAGAGTTGACAGCAACAGATTCCAAATGCAAATAGCACACTTGAAATGAACTCTGGACTTTTTATCTGCTCGTAATTGGGATAATGAGGGAATAACATACACCTGGCCATGGAACAGCTGAGAAGCCAATTGACCCATTACTTTTGGTCCCTTAACAAGTGGGAGGCACATATGCAGACTGTTGTAATTCCTACACCGTTCACCTGATTTGGATGTAAATACCCTCAAATTAAAGCTGACAGTCTGCAGTTAAAGCACATCTTGTTCATTTCTTTTCAAATCCATTGTGGTGGTGTATAGAGCCAAAAACTGTTAGAATTGTGTCGATGTCCCAATATTTATGGACCTGACTGTATATATATATATATATATATATGTACAATGAATATCTCCTAAACATGCATCACTGGAGAGATCTGTTGTACAGGTAAGTGTGTGATAATGTGCTAGTATGTGCTGTATATTAGGGGGATCAGTACTTTTTTTTTGTTTTTTTTGTGACTCCACTACCAATTTAACATATACGGTCTGTTTCCTAATATAGTAAATTTCCACATTTTTAGTTCAAGTCCACTATAAAAGGAAACCTGTACTGACAGAAATGCCAGTGCTGACTTCCATCTGAAAATGCTCACTGACCAAGAGCACAAATGCAGCCAATGAAGTCAGAACTCCCAATTTGCACATGTTACAGTATTCAAGACGCTGGCTTAAAGTAAAGTGGAACTAAAGCTGCAAACATCACTTTATTGCCAGATAGGCTTTTGTTGCAGAAGCAATTCTGTGTCTCAACTGCAATAATGCTCCTATTCTGCCTACCAGAAATGTTTCTACTCAATGTACACTGAGCCAGTATGTGAAGCTTGGTATGAATACACTTCTGAGTGCATGAACAGGAAACATGTCATTCCGGGTTGTTCAATCATGATAACCGAAGACACTAACTCAAAAGAAGATCAGGAAAAGATGTCAGCAGCGATTGGAGATATTTAGGTCTGCCATATATTCACTTGTTCTGCATAATTTCATATTATAGCACAGGCCTGTGGGCCATAAAACTTCAGCTCCCCTTTAAAGGACAACTAGTGTGAAATTATGATGATGAACTTAATGCTCTTAGGCCATTGGATAATAGATTGGAAGCTGCTGACATACTGCAGTGTTTCAAGCTCATAAAGTATTATCACATGCATACAAAAATTGGCTAAGGGCTCATGTACACTGCAGCTGATAAACCCACGTTTAGGAGCTGTTCAGCGTTTTTTTCAGCTGAACTCACCCTAATGTTTTCCTATGTGTCCATGTACACATCTTCATTTACAGTCGTTTACAGGTATTTGAGTTTACAGTCGTTTTTTATGAACATAGAAAACTTGCGTCAGCAGTCAATTTTATCAGCGTTTCAAATACAAAACGCTTGTAAACACGGCTAAACACTGCAAATCGCATTTATAAATGTTTGCGTTTAAAAAAAAAATTTTTTTAACTCTTCCAGTTCCTGATGCTGTCCAGAGCCTTTTTTTCATCATGAAAAATGCATGCAAAGAGTTTTCAAGGTACTCAAATGGACAAAACACTGAACACAAGATGTTCTTCAGAAGCTTGTCACACATTGTAATGACCAATTCACACCTTAGACCTCTCCCACCATTGGAAACAAAAGATATGTTAATGTCCATTCCCACCTCAAATTCCTCATGAAGTTCTTACACTAAATGAAACTAAATGAAACATTCATACAAGATCAGGAGACGGAAGCAAGAATACAAAAAGAAATAGAACAATATTTTCAACTAAATGAAATGGAAGAAGTTTCAATTGCTATGGTTTGGGAAACCCATAAGGCGTATATAAGAGGCATCCTGATTTCCATAGGGGCAGAAAAAAAGAAAAAACATCAGGAAAAGATAAAGACTAGAATAGAAGATCTATATGAATTAGAGCAAATACATAAAAAAAGAATGGAATTGGAGAGGATAAAAACAAAAAAATTCAGACATATTTAGAGAATGCGGCACTACCTAAATTAAAAGAAGAACGACTGGCAATATTAGATAGACCAATAACACAAGAAGAGGTGCTTGAAGCTCTTAGGAGCACACAAGCATGGAAAAGCTTGGTAAGATGTTATAGGAAGTTTAAAAGAACAATCCTTAAAATGTGTGCGTATCTCCTAGATTGTAAGCTCGAAAGAGCAGGGCCCTCAATCCCCTCATGTTTTGCATTGTATTGGTATTGTTCTGTCACATGTTCTGTCCCCCTTTGTAATGTACAGTGCTGAGCGAACTATTGGCGCTTTATAAATACTGTATAATAATAATAATAATATATGAATGCCTTAGGAGAGGGAATGCAAATAGGGAAAGAATCCCTGCTGGCACACAGAACAATTATCACTAAGTAAGGTAAAGATCTATCTTAATGTGCCAGCTATAGACCAATAGCATTATTGAATATAGATACAAAATTATATGGAAAAGTTATTGCGAATAGGGTAAAAGACCTAATGCCAGAATGGATTCACATAGATCAAGTGGGATTTATACCGGGAAGAGAAGGAAGAGCTAATGGTCTGAGGTCTTTGCTATTGCTGCAGAAAAGCAAGAAGGAGAAATCTCCAGTTGTACATCTGTCAATAGACGCTGAAAAAGTGTTTGACAGAGTAGACTGGAGATTTATGATGAGTACTTTAGAAGCGATAGGACTAGGACCAAAAATTATTAAA